TATTTCTAGGCCTGGAAGGTCCTTACATAACAGCCCTGACACATATAGCCACAGGTAAGCTAATTTAGCTCATTTATAAATATTTTTTATCCTCGTAGAGCTGTGCTCATGGTAACTAAGTATTTGAATCTACAGGCAGAAGAACAAAAAAAAATAATGCCAAAAAATATTTTAAAATGCTAAAATAAATGTTATGCAACATGTGGCATATAAAAAAAATACACAATGTCATAGGGAACCACGAATGCTTTTCAGTGAGCATTCAGAACAAGCTATTTAACACACTCCGAAGTAGAGGTGTGTGAGGTGTGTGACCAGTCTTTTTTTTGAGGCTACCTGGGAGAACTGGACATTCATTTAGGATGAACTGAAACATTTCAGTTTCTGATATAATCCCTTTTTATTACATTAAGTCAAATTTAAAAAAAAAAAAGATATTTTGAAATAAAAGATTCCATTTTAAAAAGGCAAGACAAAATTGACTTTTTGTATTTTTTAGGCAAGACTGTTTTTTGCCAAACCCCCACACTTCACCCAGCTGTGCTCATAAGTGATGAGAAATCCCAAACTCCTACTGATAACATGCTTGTCCAGTACCGCACCACCGCATCTTCCATCACTCTCCTTCACATTACATTTCTAAACAGACACAAACACAGAGCTAGTGATCTGACGTCTTATTTTTCTGAAGTCTTTTCTGTTCCCTTAGAATAATTCCTGGCTCTGTAGTGGCAACACCTGCAGGGCTACATACCGTTGCTGGAGAGGAACGTGAAGTATGTGACAGAGAATGTCTAGTGTTTTCCATCCCCCCATGAATGAGATAGGCTCCTGAGCTGGAGAGGATCTGACTTCCCCCAATGTCCATGGTGATGCCCACCATGCTGTGAGAGGGAATGGCTGTAGGAGAGGATGCCGCTGTAGTCACCTGAGCTCCACCTCCCTGTGGTTCGAAATAGGAAGCTGCACTGCTGGGGGTGTAAATCTGAGCTTCGGTGTTGTAGGAGTAGGCAGCTCGTCTGTCAAAGAAACAATAGGGTTAGGATGTGAAGCACACGCAGGCGAGGGGGGCTTAGTTGCCTAATCTCACTTACAATAGGTTCTGCAACCTGTACTAAATTTTAAAAGAGCCTTGGCTGTACTGTGGCTGGGATTTGCTGCATTGAAATGTAGCTTCAATGTGAAAGTCAATTTTGACAACACTAATCTCGCCCGTGGCAACCCTGAAGTAGGCCCCAAGCCACAGCCCCAGAGCATTTGGCCTTAGACGTGCGATGTTGGGACATGCACTGTAATAATGCAGGGGGTCCGGGAAGGGCCATCTCAGCCTGGCCTGTACCATAAAACCTAAGGCACCTATGCCCCATTTATACTTTTAATTGCACTGAATTTTTGCTTGTACTAGATAAAGTCTATTTAACTACACGGAAATACCCTCCTTCTGTAAATCCTGCTCTTTTGCCCATTTAGTTTACAGCAGCACCTTGAATGAAATAAGCTATATCAGTTAAAGCACTTCCTTACTGGTACAACTGTCTCCACAAAAGCTTTTGCTGCTAGAGAAGTCTCATTACAAAAGCCACAGCTTGGCTGGCAAAAGTTTCCAATTGTAGACCAGGCTTGAGGCTTGGAAGTGCCCATTGAAAACACAGCTTAAAAGCATAAGTCATTTGAACTTTTGCCAAAACTTAAGAAGTCCAAGTCTTAAGTACAAGAAGGACTTAAGAAGTACACGGTAAACAGAGCTGGTTAATTTTTTTTTACATTGAAACATTTCCCTGCTCTCCCCTTCCCACCTCCCACTAAATAAAATGGACTTTAAATCAATAGAACTGTTTGCATTTTTTGACATTTAGTTAAAGAACCAGAAATTAAGTCTCATAGGAAAGGGAAGTGTTTTATAAATTTCTTGTGATACATTGGGAATTTTTAGACCAGTCGTAATGAAGAGTGTCAGTCATTGGACAAGTATCTAGTGGCCAGACCAGAGGATCCAGCCTTAGGAGAGTCAACAAGAGAAGGAACCTCCTTCTTGCAGCAACTTAAGGAAATTCTGAAGTTTGGTTCAACTGTGCACTGGGCAAATTTTCATCCCAGAACATTTCAAACCAAACAAGTCATGGACTTGAACCTGAGTATTTCACATCCCAGACAATACCCTTGTCCTGCTATCTCCCTCTCTCCTCTACCTGGCTTTTATGGGGCCCATTTCCAAGAGCAGCTTTGGACAGAATAGTATATTTACAGAGGAGAATACAAGGACTGACAGCATACACAGCCCCACATGAGTACATGAAATGGAGAGTTAAGACTTTGTGTGCATCTCCCCAACTGTGTGGGCTTTGATTCTCTCTCAAAGAAAGCAAAATGGACTTTCACTTCTACCATAGGGACTTTCTGTAGTGAATGAGAGGAGGTTCTTACATGGTCCCATTGGTGTAGACAGCCTCTCCTCCCTCCACATACTGGACCTGAGCTGGGTACACGTGCTGCACAGTTTGTACCTGAAACAAATAGCAAAATGCCGGGTTTATAGAGGAATTGTTTTTAAAAAGCAATGGCAAAGCTACACACACACACACACACACAATATATGTATATATATACAGCGATAGCACTTAAAGTGGTGGCCAAAACTATTCAAGAATCAACAATTTTACCTTGACATTTGGATTGTTTTTAGAAACCCCAAAATTCTAGGGCATACACAAACTAGGCAATGGCTCGTGCCATCATTGTGCCTGGTTCTCCACTTGCAGCCCCACGTACGGTGCACCCACTGCATTCGCACAATTTAGCACCTTTTGAATAAAATAAGTTTAGCCTTGAAAATAAATCTTGACAGAACAGCAATTTTTTTAGAAACAGTCCAGCAATTTTAAAAAATAAACATGCCTCCCAAATCTTTAATGTTAGACAGGCATGGGAGAGGGGTGCTAAAGAGAGGTTTCATTTTAATCCTTAACTGTGAGAGTCTCCTTTGTTACCAGTCCAAAGCAAGGAACAATCAGATGCAGGGATCAAGGAAATTGCTCTCCTTGCCATCTCAAGTTTCCCAATCATACACAACTAATTAAATATATAGATTTTAGCAAATAGATGCTGTATATAGTTTCAAGAGACACCCATGGGACATGGAGGTTAGGAAGGGGCGGTAGATCCTATTTACTCACTGATTATTCCATGGCAATAGCCATTACTTCTCCACTGCATTGACCTTACCTGCTGTGGCACCTGCTGAACTCTGGGAACGGAGATTTGCTGCATCTGTGCTCCTTTGGGAGCAGAGCCCGTTGCTTGAACCAAAACCCTCTGAAAGAATAAAATACAGAAACATCCAGTTAGGTTCAGTCTTACCCTTAAACCCAGCGCACATCATTCCAGGTAGCCTACCTCCTGCCATGCTTCCTAGGGAACTGGCTTCAAATCCTGAAGAGGCAACAGTCCCACACTAGGTTTTATATTGACCCATGTCCATTCCCTGTCCTAATGCTTCCCTCAACAGCCCATCTAATCTAAAATTACAGTGAAATTGGGACATAGCCACAAACCCCACACTAAACAAAGCAAAACCTGAAATCTGGATCCAAGCTTTATGACATGGGCCCCTCTTCAATCAGTCATCCAAGGAATAATAGAAATGAGCTGGTTTTCAGAGACAGGTGTTAAAAAAAAAAAAAGGTCAAACCACAAGTCAACTGGAATAGTCTGCCCTCCCATCTCTACATGTTCTCCTGCCAGTGAAATGTTTTCCAGTGCTGCTATAACAGGTCACTAACCTTTATGCAAGAGCCACTTCTGTCATGATCACTACCAGTAATGCAGCCAAGACATTCTTGTATCTCCATTCAGCTGTGTAATCTCACTCCTGGAAGCCCTGCCCGTCCCTACCATTTTGCTACTCATCCACCTCTTTGTGCCATGTCTGACATTGTTTTAAGCTTGAGGCCTCGGCCCATGTCTTATTTGATCCATGAGGTGTCTTGTATACTTTTGCATGCTCCAAAGTACGTGAATGGTGAGAACACCAAGGATAGAATTGAATTATTGAGAGTGGCACGTGGGAGCGTAACGACGTACAGGGAAACAAACGTGCGAAATGCACATTTAGGCCAAGTATCAGGAAAAAATTAATTACAGCTTTTAGGCAGTGCAAAAGTCTCTAAAAGGAAGTTGTTAATGTTTGAAGACTACCAGTGCACTGGATACATTGTAAAACTGCTGGGAGAAAGAATCCTGGAACAGGAACTAGACAAGTCTACTAAAAATTAACCAATTGTACTAGCCATAACCAATTGTATGGCTTTATAGCATTACCTATCACCTTCGTATCTGTGCACCCCCTGTGTAATATCCATAGTAAAAGCCCACGGGTTGTAAACTCCATTAAATGCACTGGGGTCTTTACTTTTACTATTGATATTACACAGGGGGTACACAGATATCAAGGGGATAGGTAATATTATAAAGCCATACAATTGGTTATTAGGGGATTTACACACAGCTCCAGGAGGCAGGTTGTGGGGGATGCTTTAATCAGAACAGCTCTGAGAGCCGCTCTAATTAAAGTGCCAAGAGCGTCACACGTGTCAGCATCCCTGGGGGGAAGGGGGGTGCTTTAACTAAAGCTTGAACGAGCTTTGGTTAAAGTGTCCCCGCTGCCATTTTTCAGTGTGGGGATGCTGATACACATGACGCTGGAGTCTGCTGGACTGTGGCAATTACTACACTCCAGCAGACTCAATTAATTGATTACTCGAGTTGCTCTATAATTACAGTGCATCAAAGCAGCCTCAATGTATGTGTATAGGTGCCCTTATGATGACAAAACCCTGATGCACTTATATTTAAGTAGGTCCATTGAAATCACTGAGAGTAGGACCATGTTGAAGAGCTTTGCTGAATCAGGATCTAATCCATGCTTATTCACACAAATTATTGGACTTCAAAAGCATTGCTCACATGAGACCCCATCTTGCAAAAGTTTAACATAATAAAATATGTTCTCCATGTTCAAGGAAAAAGGTTAGCATGGCTAATGGTCAGCAAGGCTTATTTGGAAAGCAGATAAACTCACACTAGATTATACCTTGGGAACTTTTATAGTTTTTCCTGAAGCTTTATGGTGTGCATTCTTTTTTAAGGTCATACACAGGATATTGTATTTATTTTTATAGTCAGCAAACCAGCCAACAGCCCGCAAATTTCCAAGTCGGAGCGCAGCTCAGGGAGACTCCCAGGAGTGCTAAAGGTACCTGAACAATTCAAGTCTGCCAAATTGGCATGCAGAAAACTCCTACAGGATTTTCTCATCAAGATTCAGGTTCCCATTTCTCCTTCCACTGGAAGTGGGAGGCACAGAGATGAGTAAGAGTGAAAAGGAACTCCTGGGATTAATCCAGCTTTTCCAAACATCAAACAAATAGTCCAGCCCTTTCAAATCAAACTCAGTGAAGAAAGACCCCGTAAAACTTCTATGATTTTTTCATCTTTTTTATTAAGACCACTGTGTATAACCACCTCTTTGTCATTAGTTAACTCAAGCCAAGCTGCCACAGAGACTCCAATCACATTCATCTGTGCTACACAGAGTCCAATTGCAGTATCATCAATCTGCAATGTATCCTGGCCCTCTGAAGCCTTCTTCAATGGTTTAGCACTAAAGTTACTTTGTAGAATTCATCATTTGTCCAATGTATGAGTTTATTGGATTTAAAGGCCAGGAAAGACTGTTATGAGCATCTGCACTATCCACCTGCATAACACAAACCAGAAAACACAAACCAGCATTGATTTGTAGAAGCTTGGAAACAGTTTGGATAAAGGTAGATACCGGGGCAAATTCACCCTCAACGATAGTCCCCTGACACCGAGCCAATGTGCCTAAGCATTAGGGGATACAAATTCTCATCCAGCCTCTTGTGGGTGGCCTTAGTCAAGTCACTTCATTCTGCCTCAGTTTACTAACCCATCTCTAAACTGGGGGTAATGGTCTTTATTTAACTTTAGAAAACACTTTGAGAGCTTTCAATAGCAAAGACATCTGAGATTCGTCTGTCTGCACTGCCTGGGACTTACCCACCATCTCCCTACCGGACTGCGTTATAACTTCTCTTTGAGTACAAGTTGTGGGAACATACAGTAGTTTGCCTGGGAGGCTTCCTATTACTGAGAGTGAGTCAATGAGAGTTTTTCTGTTGACTTCAAAGGTGGGATTTTTCCTTCCGTCTGCAGCAAGCATCACAGAACAGGCAGAAGCAGCTATCATTTTTCAAAAGACTGATAAGGTTTATGGGATTGTTGCTAAACTCCCACAGTGCCCTTTAGGATCATATTAGCTCTGACTTCTTCGGAAATAAGATTCACTCATCTGCCAGAAGTTAAGGATGACTGACTGCACTAGATATTTCCTCACCTTTCCATTATGTTTTCATCATCTGAGCAAATAGAGCAAATCTTTTTGTCATACTTTTCTTTCCTTTCTGCACCCTCTGTGCAAGATTTTGAGGTTCTTTTTCAGCAAGGGAGCCAATAAAATTAAGCTGAACTGCATTTTTGAGGTGGGTGCAGGAACATCATTAACAACTTCCTATGTTGGAACAATATCAAAGTGGATTATTCTACTCCTCCTTTAATTATTTTTCTTTAATTCTTCACATGCAGAATCTTATAGTGGGACTGCAGTGTGCTCGCAGGATTGAAGTCAGTCTAGAGGAAAAGGCCAAGGGCAACTTGCTTCAATTATTTCTTGAAATTGTGATTATGTACTACATTAAAAGTGATGTTAGCACAAAAGAACTTGATAAGAAAGTTAAGAACAACGGAAAGGCAAAAGACTCATAAGTTTCAAAGGCATACATTACAGGCTGGCCTTCAACGTACTTTGTGTGAATATAGATCATTTCTAAATTAGTCTGATTTGAAGAGCCTTGAACAGGAATTAAATTCCCAGAGGTATCTTGTCATGACTTGGAGACATCATGAGATGGGGAATCTACCACTTCGCTTCATGGTTCATCCTGGTTTTCCACCTTCACTCTTAAAATTTAGTGACTTATTTCTAATTTGATTCGACTTTAAGTCACGGTTTCTTGGCACATCTTTCCCTGTTATTTTAAAGTGCCCTATAGGATCTAGTATTTTCTCCTTCTCTAGGTACTTATATACTAGAATATTATCACCATCATTATTGTTATTATTACTACTACTGTTATAATGTTATTATTATATGATTTGTATTATATAGTATAATAATTAATAATGGTTATGATAATATCACCTCTCAAATCTTTTGATAAGATAAGCAAAAGGAACTTCTTTGTCTCTCTCTGCAAAATAGTGTCTGGGGCCCTCAATTTAATTTTGTGGATCTTTCCAAATCCTCTACAATTTTTTTCAAATACCATTTTTTAAAACACAGGGGCATAAACAGTATGCAGCTCTCTAGTCTCCATCGACATTTACCTTCCTACTCCAATTTATGTGCATATATTAAAGGATTGGATTAGTTCTTCATGTCAATTTGAAGGTTGTGTTAAACCATCTCTCCATATCAAACCTTAAGCTCTGGTCAGAGGCAGTGCTTGCCAGGATACCCCCCATCTCCTCACCACTCGCTCTGTATTTTGACTTTGCAAATCTAGGGATTAGGAATATAGCTTTGCATTTGGCTGCATTTAAAGCATATTTCACTTGAGAGGTCCCAGCTTGTCAAATGATCCAGATCACTCTGTCTGACTGCCCTACCCTCCCATGACTCATTTCTCTGCTTAATTTTGTGCAAAGTTTATTGGCAGCAATTTTACATTTACTCTCAGATCATTGATGAAAATGTTGTTTAACACTGGGCCTTGCATCAAATGCCTACTAATAACACTCTCACTTAATGATTCCACACTGGCAGTACTGAAATCTTTCAGACCTACAGCTCTTAATTCATTAAACCTGAATTTTATAGATACTATATAGTGCCAATTTTTAATCTGAATGCTTTGTGGGCCTGTGTCAAATGTTGTATGCAGATAAAGCAGACTCTTCTAATTGGGTTCATCAACCATATATATCCATTTCATTTCTCCGAAACTATAATTGACCTATAGTTACCAGAGTCATCCACATCTTTATTTCAAATATTAGCACAACATTGGCACTCTTTCCAGTTTCTGAATGGATCTTGGACTGCCAGAAAACTTTAACAAGAGGCCAGAGATCTCCACAGCCATCTCTTTTAGGATTCCTGGGGACAAATTATCCAAGTCGGGAGATTTAAAAGCGTTTTTCCTCAGCAGATGTAATTTAAAATCGTCCTTATATTTACTGACTGGGAAGTATCCTACTGCTCCTCCTCATCCCTTATCAATTTTCTATGCTCTGTAAATTCTACATTGTACTGATTGTTTTCCGTTTCCCCTTTTTCTATTTGTTTTACATCGTGGAGTCTGTTTGTTTTGTAATTGCGGCCATTGCTCTACCACTGAATCTGGATGGACTTTCATTCAAGGTCATCCTATTTTTTGATTGTGGCATTATGGCTGTTTGGCCACTGAATAAGTACTCTTTAAAAAGAGCTCCTACTTCTCAGCTGCACTTTGCTGTCTGGATTTTATCTCCCTATCCATCTTGCTGATCATTCTTCTCTGCCTCGGAAAATTAGACCTTTTGAAGCATCAAATTGTATATATTATTGGCTGGGCTGTCCTTTGTCTGCCTTTACTGAATATAATCAGGTCACGATTACTGGTCCCTAGGCAACCACCAACTGTTAACCCAGCGATTAATTCATCTTTATCAGTCAGAATGAGGTTACAAATAAAATTACCAGGTGTCGGGTACAATACTGTTTCTGTTAAAAAAATCATGAGTGGCACCTTATAATATTGAGAAATTCTAATGATATATTACGACTGGCTACACAAGATCTGTGCTGTAAATTTTCCAAACTGGAGTTCCCAACAATATACATATATTTTTTTTCTTTCCACATATTACAGATAAGTGTTTAAAGAGTAACTCATCCTTGTTTTGTTCTGTGATCTATAGCGGCCTCTACCACGTCCCCATGCTGGCCTTTGTTAGTTGGTATACTGATGCATTGGTAGTCAAGAACCTGTGGTTCTAAAGTTACTAATAACAGATGGTGATATATTACACACGTAGAGTCACCTCACACTCATTTTTCCCCTTCTTTTCTTCTGAAACAGATTGCAGTTACCAATTTGCACATCCCAACCATGCAAATTGGCCAGCCAAGTCTCAGCAATGGCTGTTATATTGATTAACTAACTAATGAGACGTTCCATTTCCTCCTGCTCATGACGCAGACTCTTAGCACTGGTATACAACTAATTGAAACATTTCTTGTCTTCACATCCTTTGCCACAATGGAGCTTGGGTTCAGGGCCGGACACAGGCATGGGCGAACCAGATGGTCGCCCAGGGCCTGGACAGAAAGGGGGACTGAAAATGGTAATTTTTTTCCCCGTTGTCTGATTATTATTATCATTATCTCTGGTGAAGGGGGGCCTGATACTAAAAGTTCTCCCAGGGCTGCCAGGAGTCTAAGTACGGTGCTGCATGGGTTCATAATTCATTGCTTTCTGGGATGTTCAAACTAGCCTCCAAAGATGAAAGTTCATTTCCCCCAAGCCTGGAAGATGTTGGCCATCCTGATTGTACTGTCCCATCTCCCAACAATCTACAAAATGAGAATGTTCAACTTCAAAACGAATCATGCAACCAGCTGTCCACTTGTAGCAATTTCTATTTGCAAACTTGTAGCCCCGAAGAAACTCTGGATGTGCCTTTTCTGCATCTCCATTCTGAGATCCACAATCTTCTGTCACCTACACAGTTTTACTTGGCTATTTGTTCCAATGTGCATCACTACCGCAGCCAATCTTGGATTGTTACGGTCAAAAATATTAATCTTAACAACGAAATCATGGAAACATTTTGCAGTATTGATCAGCAAGTTGCACACACAAAATGAAAAGCCATGCAATGAAACTGAGAGCGTGGAAACTGGAAAAATATGACAAAGTAGACAGCTATACAAAGAATCTTATTACCTGGGCTGCCTACCTTCCAGAAATGATACTATTCTAGGAAAGAAATTGCCCATAGCAATTCCCTTCTCCAACCTCAAATGGCATCTGACTCCCACTAACTGCGTTGTCCTCTCTAGTCAAAGATACTGCTACCCAAACCCCAGCCCTGCAGCTTCCTCATAGGTTACAAAACTTTTTTGATATTCCTGTAAATGGAATAAAATGAATCTCAATTCTCATTTCACTTTCATTTTTTGAATTAAAACTATCTTTTCTAAAAAATAAAGTGACAGCCTCACTTCTCTACCATCGAAAAGGTTTTAAATATGTTTTATTTATCTCAATGTGTTAGCATGGAAAGATTGAAAAAAAAGAAAGGGAAAGAGAAAACCACCAGACACTTCTCCCTTAAAAAAACTCAAAACTGCTAAGCATTTTGTCCCTCTTCTCCCCTAAATGTTTCCCAGTTTCACTGATTTTGTTATCATTCAGCTTTAAGAGATGCACCATTAAGGATGTGGTGCCATTTGATTTGTCATTGCCTTTATTGACACATCCAGTAATGACATCATGATACTACAATAAATCAAACACCAAACTCTTGTAAAAAGGTTTTCTTGGCAACAAGGATAATTTAAAATCCATATCCCAGGTTCAAGTGGTTGGGGTTTTTTGTTTTTTTTTTTAAACTGCAAACATTTCTATGGTAATTATCAGTGCAACATCCATAGAGACTATCACGGCTATCTCAATGCGAATAAATGCCTCAAACCGATTTTAAAAGAAACCCTTCCGACCTATGGATTAAAGCAAATCTAGCATTAAAAATAGGTTGCTTTTCCATGAAGACAGCCCCAACAGCTGTGCAAGCCGTGGTTACATTACCTGCTGAGATGCTGGCACTGGTTGCACTACTGGAGCTTGGGCCGAGGCAGAAGTACGCAGAGCCACAGAAGTCGCTGAATCTGATCCACCCTCTGAGCTCTGCATGCTCACTGCTAGAGAGAGCACAGGACAGATGAGACGGAGAAAACAGCTTCACTCATTTATAGTTCTAAAAGCACGGGAGTCTGTGGCATCAAGGCCCAAGGAATAAAATCCCTGTGGAGGGTCTATGGGCAGTTATAGGAAGGAAGGTAGCTGCCTTCCTACTTGGAGGATTCTTTTTAATCTTGGCTCCAACTTTATTGCAGTATTATATTAAGAGAAAAAAAAGTTGCACAACAGTTCCACAGAAAGAGGGAAGGAACAGAAAACGTGCTTCTAAATATAACAAAATGGCAAAGGAAATTATTGTGTCACAGCCAATCTGTAGTTTCTCCTCGCTAAGGGCTAACAGAACGTATGACCAAGAACCACGGTTTCTTCCCTATGAGTGTTTGCACAAAAAGCCAAGTGCCAGACTTGACCATGTGCCCAGATCAAATGCATCTGAAACAGCTTTGCCATGCTGCAAAATGCAGGCACAGAATGATGAAGCTGCGTGCCCTCCGACAGAAGCTGAGGTTCACAGTAAGAGGAGACACCTTGAAGACAGTCAAATCAGCAGATTTTTTGTTTCTAAACTGAAACTTTGGACAAAAAGCTATTTTCCTTGGAAACCGAAGATTTAGAAATTTTGAAATGTCAAGGTTCCCTCCGTTAAATGTAATAAAATATACAAGTTCCGGGGACACAACCAGTATTTCCATTTTTCTTTCTCCCCCTCCTCCCCCCATTTCTTTTTTGCAACTAACTTTTTGAACTTCCACAAATTTGCAAGAATAGAAATAATGTGGGGGGGGGGGGGGAAGAAAATTTGAGAAAAATCTGGGTGTTATTTGTTTTTCCATACGCTGTCATAAAAGGAAAAGCAGTGGTAAAAAAGATTAAGTGAACAAAAAACGAACTCTGCAAAATGGAAACGACATCTATGTTTTTCTTAAATTTTCCCCCTACTTCTCAACTAGGTCTGACCCGGGACAATTATGGCAAATAAAACTATATGGGTTTCTCCACCCTGTCAGCTCTAACTGCTTGTGAATATGTTCCTCTTTTATGATTCTCCTCGACGTAGAAGGGCGAGTGGGAATCACAATTCAGCTGAAGGATCAAGAATAAACAATCCCAAAATAAGTCACATTGCTTGTCGTAGCATTGTTCATTTCTCCAGCCCTCAAGGCATTAAAAAAAAGCTTTCATTTTTCTTGAGACTCTGCATAGAATAGGACTGCATACAATCCACTATATAAAGACAGCATCTGTTTCTTTAAATCACTGTCTGACCGTATTTTTGACGGGGTATCTAAAAATTCCTCTTTATCCAAGATTCCAGCTGCTTCGACCCAATGTGACTAATAATAATAACAATAATTCTCTCCGCACAGTTAAGAAATAGCCTCACACCTGTTCCAGTTTGGCCCACCCCAGTCATTTGCCAGTAAACAGCTGGGCCAGCACAAGGTCTTTGGTGAAGGAGATAAGCTGGTAAGTCTCATATAAACATAACTTCCAGCAAAAAAAGGACACTTTTTGGATACATATTCTCATAACTTTCTCCAAGCACGGGCGATTGTTTGTTACTTATGCCTGCTGCACTCTAGTTCCCAATTTAGTATGATTTTATACCTCTCCACTCAAAGTGTTGGGTTTAGGTTATATAACTAGAAAACTGGGTAAGTTCTCATCAGAGATTTTAACATGCTTTGGAAATGTCATATGAATGCAAGCAAGATCAGCCACCTGTGGAAACAGGTTCACTGCAAACAATTCGATTTAGATTAGAGCTCAGTTTAGGATATTAAATGCTCATCAAAGAGCATCTTGAAATTTTGGTGCCCTAAATATGCCCAGGGCCCAGTGTGTTACGTTCTTTGCTGCACTGGGGCTCAAGTCCCACTGGGGTCAATGTGATTTTTGCATGTGCTTTTCTCAATGGGAATTTTCTCAATAGGAACTGCCAGTAAAAGGGGTCTTTGTAAAAGATCACAGAATATGGTACTTGACTTCACCATACCACCATGGATTACTTGACACCACCATACCAACAAATTGCCAAGCAGGCTTGGCACACTGGTGTTCCTTCCAACTTTGTGTCCTTCAGAAGTAAGACTGATGGCACTAATCAAAATCCCGCATCTCTTTGAAACTTAAGATTGAGATCCAAATACCCTTGACGTGGAATATTAAAATAAGTCATACAGAAAATGACAACATTTATTTTAAACGCACTAGGATCCGAAAGGCACCTTTTCCTCGTACGGGACATCAACTATGGCATGATGCTTCTTCCATACCCACTCATCATCTCTCAGACAGATGATACTCAAGAGACATTTTCATAACTTTGGCAAGGCCATAAAGTGATGCAGCAAGTCTAATAAGAAAAAATATTTTTTTTTTTGCAAATGTGGTTCTAACACGGTGCCACTCTAGTTAGAAGAGGAACTCTCTCAAGTCGCATCTGCTCACTTTTGTCAACAAATGTGTACTTCCCATTGGACCTCGGTGCCCAAGAAGAGCTAAAAAAAAAGGATGCATGGATCATGAGCAACATATACAGAACTCTTACAAATACAGACTCTGTTACTGATGATGATACCGGAGATGGAAAAAGCAAATCTGCATTCTCAAATCCCAAGACAAGTTCACAACAATGAGGAAAACCCTTGACTTGCAAACCAAGCAGATGCAATCTGGCATTGCAGGGAGAGAGAGGCAAGCCATAAGCATGGAGCCCCAGAACAGTATTTGAAAGAATCTGTATTAATGTCTGTTTTCCAAGGATGCTTTAGTCTTAGAAATATCTTGAATCGTCTATTAAAGCTGTTTTGTGCCTCTTGCAAATATGAGAGGCAAATCTGTTAAGGCTTTCTGTTCAAACTGACTTGTGCTGCTGACAAGTTCAGCACACAAACAGGACTCCCACTCGGTAGAAGTACGGCTCCTGCTATCTCTCTAAATATTGCAAGGGACAAGTGAGGTGTGCAGCTAACAAGGAGATTTTCAGGAGTTAGGCAGCCTGTTTCCACTGGGAGAAAATAGAAGCCGGATGCCAAACTCACACCTGTGCCATTGAAAACTTCCCGCACTCTGCTGCTTAAGTCTAACTCGGAGGCGGCCAATTATTTTGGGTGGAGGGCCGCTCATTGAGTTTTGGCAAGCCATCAAGGGCCACATGACAGGCAGCCGGGGCAGATAAATATTAATTTTCTAAATATTTAGGAGCCCCGCAGGCCGGATAGAATGGCCTGGCGGGCCGCATCCAGCCTGCGGGCCGCATTTTGCCCACCCCTGGCTAAACACTGAAGAGTGTTGATTGTGATGCACCATCCAGTCTAATATCAGTAGAAGCCTAGCAGCTAACTTCTCATACAGCCATTTAGGGAATCTGCTGTCATTCCTCGACCTGGTTTTTGACATCCCTCGGGAGCCCCAGTTCCACAACACACTGACCAAGGGCGCGGACAGAAGTGACATTTGTCGGGCAATCGGCCCCCTGAAAATGCTCTGCTGCCATGCTGCAAGACACGTGCATGGCTGCAGAGCACCTTAAAAGTGGCCGATCGCATGACAAATGAACCCTCATCTGATGAAGGATCACATGAAGGTATTCCAAAGCAAAGCATCTTCATTAACTTCCATCAGTCCCTGCATGCAATCAGGGCTGGGCTGATACAGCTCAGGCTGTATCCCCTTTCAGCTCAGGCTGGGCAAATCCCAGCCCGCAGTTCCTACCCCATTCCCCCTCCCTTCCTGCAGACAGCACCAGAGCTGGGGGGGCGGGGGGGTAGGAGAGAGAAGCTGAAGGCAGGCAGCTCCTCCGCTGGGTTGGCCCCAAAGTGGAGCTTGATTCCTCCCCGCCACACCCGAGTAACAGGCTTTCTGTGAAGCGCCACGAGTTAGAGCTGGGAGCTGCACGTCAGTGACTCTCAGTACTGACTGGCTCAGAAGCCATATAGCAATCGGTGTTCAAAATGCTGCAAAGTGTATACTCCTAGGAGAACTAAGGCAAACGCTCTCCAGTTCACAAAAAAAAAAGAAACTACGATTCATTAACTCCTACTCCTGACTTTGTGCCCCTTGGGCAGGGGGCTGGATCCGATGATCTCGCAAGAGCCCTTCCAGCCCTTATGTCTATGAAATTCACATTTGCACAGTCCACCAGATAAATGTACTTTAAAGGTGTTAAGCCTCTTTGGTGCTTGCTAAATTTAAAGTACTGGCTTATTTTAAGCAATGCCAAAAGTAATTCTGTGGTGAGCTGCAGGTAGCAAGAGGAAGAGCCACTTGTGTGCCTCAGTCTGGGTATCACTGATCTAGAACAACTGCTCCGAATGTCGACTCAGTTGGTGAATTCAAGCTCTATTGTTTTTAACGGGGATGAGTTTTGGTGTTCGAGTTGGCAGAAGGAACAAAAAAAATCACACAGTGCAGCCACATTGCCAAGTGTTGCTGATTTACAGATACCAAAGTGAGCTATTTGCAAAAAAGTAACAGAACTATTAAAAGGTGTTGCCTGGAGCCCTGCAGCCAATTAACAAAATGACACCTCTGCAATTCTATCCAAATCAATGGCTTTGTATAAGCAAAAGTGTATGGAATTGGTAGGCTAGGTTCTTTGGGTAGATGTGATATCTTTTATTAGACCAACTGACTAGCTGGAAAAAAGTTCTTTGCAAGCTGTCAGGCACCATCACCCTTCTTCAGGCATAGGGAGTGTCTCCTATATAGGGTGATGGAGCCCAAAAGCTTGCAAAGAACTTTTTCCCAGCTACTCAGCTGGTCTAACAAGGAGCTAACAAGGAGGTTTTCAGGAGTAAGGCAGCCGATTTCCACTGGGAGAAAATAGAAGCCGGATGCCAAACTCACACCTGTGCCATTGAAAACCTCCCGCACTCTGCTGCTTAAGTCTAACCCAGGAGCAGGCAATTATTTTGGGCGGAGGGCCGTTTACTGAGTTTTGGACAACCGTCGAGGGCTGCATGATAGGCAGCCAGGGGCAGATAAATATTAATTT